TTTCCCTCTTCATATCCATCACTTATCCCTCCCTCCTGGCTCTGCTAACTTCAGGTTCAGTGTCAGAGACACAGACAACATAGAGAGGTTACCCACTTCCCATAATCATATAAGGTTTAATCCCTATAGTTAAACCTCATACCTCAGTCACAGTGCTTCTGCGTCTCTGATCAAATTCTACCTGACACAGATGTTAATGTCAACTCTTGCTACAAAATCGACATCATCATAACCTAGACAAGATCCTGATGGACTAAAAATATAGAAAATATAACTAGTTGTAATAAATTGGGAAATTTTAACATTTTTGGTCAAAATTATACCATCTCTAATGGTATCCTGTACAACACAAAATGTTCCTATAGGAGATAAGATTGAAAAGTCAAGTGAATGATTTTAGCTACCCATAATGGAGAGGGACTACAAGTGCAAAGGGCTTCTTACTGCTATTTTATCTGAAGAGCATATTGAATTAAGTGGGATTGTACTCCAGTGTTCCTAAGTTTACAGTTGATGCACAGAAGCTACCATTCTTTAAAAACAGCATGTTTGCAGCAACTTAGATGGTTTAGAGTCTCTAAAACTCAGCGATCTATCACAGAAACAAAGAACTGAGTACCACATGTTCTCACTCATAACTGGAACCTGAACATTTATAATAATAGTATAAGAAAGGGATTGCCAGTAGCAGAATGCTGCCAGGGAAGGGGGGCAGCATATAACCTCAGTAAGGGTATGTGATCTCAAACCAGGCAAAGTGGAGACCAAAGGGAGGCCAAACTTTACTTGTAAGATGACCACTAAGTGTCTAATCCTGAATTGTACTCTACATCTTTAAAATAAAAGTCAATAAAAATCAATAAAAACAGCATATTTTTCTAGCAATATCTCAAACTGAAATTAACAATGTAAGTTATCTGCTGCCACAGAAGCCATCAAATCCAAAGCAATAAACCAAAGGCAATCTCAAAGAAGCATTTCAAATATAGCTCAGCAAGAGGGTAGAACAACAGGAGAGAGAGGTCTATCTGAAAAGAGCTCAATATTTTGAAGGCAATTTTTCAAAGTAAGCATCTTTTCTTATATAAAATGCAGTTATTTTAAAGTCATACCCCACTGTCAAAGCTTGAAGCCTTGTCAAGTAAAATAACATATGCTTATCCAAAGTGACCACTCTGAACTAGGTCTAGGTTCAGTAAGATCTCATAAACTTTCATTTTTATCACAAAGTAAAGCATACTTGGATCAATATTTAATATAATCTAGATGTGTTACCATTTATTATTAACCCTTAGCCTATGAGAATGAGTCATGAGACAAACCTAAAAACCTATGTCATTATGTATTCATATTTATATTTAAATAAATTATAAATTTGTTGGGGGAAATATGTTACATATTTTTTAAAAACTATTTATTTCAAGTCTGAAAAGAACTCAATCCTGTTACTCCTCTGGTAGAGGTATGTAATAAAGGCCATATTCACTATATCCTACAAAAAACTGAAAAAGTATCATAGTATAAGTTCCTCATCCCTGCCAATCACCTCTTAGCCAAATAAATGGCAAGATCTCATTAGTAAACAGAGAACAATTTGATCAAATTTATAGAAACAAGTAATAGATGAAATACATAAAAATGTTAAGAGTGGTTGCCTGGGAAAGGTAGTATAATAGATGGTTTCCTATTTTATACTTTAGAAAACTTCAAATAACTCTACTTCTAGGAGTTTATCTTAAAGAAATAATCAGAAACACACAAATATTTAAGTGAAGATGTTTGATGCAGCATTGTTTGCATTTTTAAAATGAAGACAGCCTAAAAGTTCAACACAAAACAAGATTAAATAAATAAATAATATCACATCGAAACAATAAAAGAGAATACAGGTATTAAAAAATAGAATAATTACAACATCAAATTTGTTTAACAATATGTCTATATCCTATATTTACATTAGGGTTTTTAAAATTATGTTAAAATTTTAAAAATTTTATTGAAAAATAATAGCTCTAAATATTAACAGAATTAATCTGAGTATTAGAATTAGAAATTATTTATATTTTCTTTTTTATACTTTTTTAGGTCCCTAGAAATATATCAAAAACATATCACTCTTTAGAACTCTTGTACACTGTTCGTAGGAATGTAAAATGATGCAGCCATTGTGAATAAATCTGGCAGTCCCTCAAAAAATTAAACATAAAATTATCATATGACTCATCAATTCTACTTTAAGGTATATACCCAAAAGAACTAAAAGCAAGAACTCAAACAAACATTTGTATACCAATGATCAGAGCAGCTTATTCACAATAGCTGAAAGGTGAAAAACCCAAATGTTCATCAACAGACAAATGGGTGAACAAAATGTAGTATATACATACAATGGAATATCATTAGCTTTAAAAAAAAAATTGAAATTCTGATACATGTTACAAATTGGATTAAACTTGAAGACACAGTTACATGAAAAAAAGCCAGTCACAAAAAGACAAATTTTGTATGATTCCACTTATATGAGGTACTTAAAATCACCAAATTCATAGAAACAGAAAGCAGAATAGTAGTTATCAAGGGTTGGGAGAAAGGGAGTAAAGGTTATAGAGTAATGGATATAAAATTTTACTTTGGGTAAATGAAAAAAGTTCTGGAAATGGGTAGTGGTGATGGTTGCACAGCACTGTGAATGCACTTACAACAATGAATTGTTCATTTAATAGTTAACATGACAAATTTCATTATGTATATTTTACCATAATTTTCAAAAAGCTAAAAAAAATTGCTATAATCAGAATTTTTAAAGAAACTTTTTCTCAAAAATTATACAAATATAAATAGAACAGAATGATCAACAAAATGTAATCATTTCTACTAACCTGAAATGGAAGCCATTCTAAAACTGAATTGGAGATCCAATTTTTTTCTAAAAATAAAAGAATAACCATAACAACTTTTAAAAAAACAATACTATTGATAATGCTCAATCAATAATAATCTGTCACTACTAAGCATAAAAAAAGTTAGGAAGTAAATTACATATTGCAATGACCTTTCAAATAAGGACTACATGGTTCTTCCCACATTAATTTTTATGGAAAACCTCTCTAGATTTCATACAACTGCCCAAAGTCACATAAACGTATGACGGGTACAATATAAACTACATTTAGCAAACATCTACCAGATACAAAATTATGTAGCAAAAACGAGCAAGGATTAAGCATTTTAGCACTAAATTACTATGTGACTAAATTAGCAAAGTTACACACTGTTCCTCTAAGCCTCTTTCTCTACTTGTAAAACTGGGATGATAGAACCAACCCTATAAATAACAAGTTAGACGGATTCAAATGTCCCATGTTAAGCAAAATACATCAACATTAAATAATCACATTTATCATTTAACATCGTATCGAGCACTTGCTCTAAAGAATTATAATTTAAACTCAATCTTAAAAGAGAAATTGGTATTCTACAGAAGGGTTCGATTTCAGAAGGTGAGAACACTGAATGATTAGAGGTGGAGGAAAACATGGTTTGTATTAAGGAACTGTAGGTACCTATGAATGACTAAATCCTAAGCATGCATATGGGCAAGTACAAAATTAGTCTTAAGAGTAGGAAAGTTGAATTCTCCATAATTCTACAAATATTTCTCCCACTTGAAAATCAATATGGAAACATCAACATTTTCTAAAACTAAGTTAGAATGCTCTCCAAAGGTAGCTTCAGCACCACCTACCCTTACTCAGACTAAATTTGTGGCCTTCAGACACAAAATTCTGAAGCCACCACTTGGCTGGCAAGATAGGTTGAGTTTTCTTTGCCTTGCTAAAGAGTGTGGAACGGCCTTTTTTAATTCTTTGTCTATTTAAACACCTCTTCACTACGTATGAAAACGTAACATTCCTTTCACAGACTGTAAGGTCCTCCTGCAGAGTAGGGGTTGAGTCTCTTCATCTTTGTACACACATTGCCTAGCAAAGTGCCTTGCATATATAGTACCGTGTCAGGTTTGCTGAGGCTGAAAGTGGTGGCTATCTCTAGCTTCATGAAAGGATATAATAAATATCCAATTTTGACCCACTATTTTAAATCACTTCTTTGATTATGCTGTTAAAAGACTGCTCATTCCCCAAATGATGTAATTCAATAGAAGAAGATCTCAACATGAAGTGAATTCGAAGACTGAACTATATGGCAGGTCTATCACTCAGAAGTATAAGCTAGTCATCTACAAGAAAACTTTTAACAAGGAGACAGTCAGTCAGTCATCGATATTGGCAGAAATGCCACCGAGGTACCACAAGCAAAATCGGACCCACAACCCTCCTGTATTTAGAGGCAACAGTAACTTAATAATGTCCCCCCTTACGCTACTGTGAAGCAGGGGACGGAAGAAGCATCTCCAGCAGTATTTCCCAGTACATGGTGGCTGCTAATAAATAAACTTTAGTGGCCAAGCCTACTGCATAGAGAAGGCTAAAGAGATCAAAAGACCGCTCAGCAGGCGAACGTGTCCCTAAAGATCTCAGTTCCAGGAGCAGGGCAGTGACTCACGCCCTCGTTTCTTCCCCGCCAAAGGGTTGGAAGGAAGTGATCAGCGCCAGACGGGCCTCGCCCTAGGCAGGAAAGGGAAAGATCAAAAAAGGGGAGCACACCCTTGGCCTTTCGAACTGTAACAGAAGTTATCCCAGAATCTCTCCCCATGAAGGAGCCCACTCCAACTCCGGGGACTCCGACTCTACTCCGGGTCTCCGACCCGAACAGAGCCCTAGCTTGGGGACCGCTACGCACCTCTTTCTGCTGCTCTTGGATAAAATGTTCCCGCCACCCAGCAGGGAGCATCCACCCTTCCGGGTCGGTCCCTTCAACCAATTGCAAATAACGTACTTCTCTGATTGGCTAAGGGGTGTGGCCTCCATGCGCGTCACCGAATAAGACCAGGATTTACTGGTTGATATTGAGAGCAGGCTTAGCCAATGGGAAGAGACCTTAAAACGGAGGTAGGGGGTGGCTGCGTGTTTCCGGAAGACGTGGCGGCTATTGCCTGGGCAGTTTCCCGGCTTCTTTTCTCCCGACTCAGCTTTCCCACCCTGGGCGTTCGGAGGTGCTGCCGCCGCTGTTCCCACCACTGCAGCCATGATCTCCTTAACGGACACCCAGAGTAAGCACATACCCCGGGGCCGCCACCTCGAGCTCCTCACACGCCTTGCTCGGGCTGGGTCTCGCCCGCCCGCCCCTTCGCCCCGGTCAATGAATGAAGCTCGGTATTGGGGGCGGTGGCCTGCGAGACTGAGCTAGGGCTGCCGGGACCTGGAGGGCTGACTTCGGGGTACTAGGGCTAGACTTGCAGTGGCGAACCTGGCCTAGAGGGAGATTCAGTGGGGCTGAGTGGAACGCTGTATTTGGGGTGGGGGAGCTTTAGCAGAGCGACTATCTCGTGCCAGGGTCGCAGTACTCACCTCACTCCCAGGGAGATGCGCGCTTTGTTGTGGGAGACCACCGCAAGAGAAAGTTTTCGCGATGCCAGAGGCCCACTCTCGGAGTCGTTTCTGTACATGACATACTTGGGTCCTCTACAAGTCACTGACTGGTGGTTTGGTTGGGAGGCAGTATTTTAAATGTCACCTACTGTAGGCTGTTTTTGAACAGTGCTTACACTTAAATACGTATTATGAATATTCATATTTTGACACCACTGGAGGCAACCTTTTAGAAGTTCCTTGAAACGACTTCACTTTTCTACTCGCTAAAGTTTCAAGAGTAATAAAAAGCCACTTTGTGTTCAGTAAAGGATGTCTTTTGTTAGTGTTGTATATTGTGCTTTGTGGCTTGTTATACTATTTTTTAGCATCCCTTTCTGCCTACCACAGAGTTCTCTAGGCGTATCTCATCTCCGAGGTTAGCATGCTGTTTCCTTTTCTTTCAATATAACATTTTCACTTTTTACCGATTCTTGTCAATATTAAAAATTTTTTGTATTTACATGTCTGCCCAACCATTGTGTTTCCTTATCTTTTATGGTCGTGATAGTCCCTTTTTGTCTCACTTTGCTTTATCTGACATCACGCCTTTTGTTTCATTTTATTTAACTTACTCAAATGTTCAAGATTTTAAGAATTAAATAGTGAATTGAAGTGAAAATAAAACTTCATTTAAAATACCCTATTTTAAAGTGGGATCTTAATGTTTAGATTGAAATCACGACAGACGTGGACGTCCCGAAACTTTTTTTTTTTTTTTTGAGAAAACAAGATTTATTGAGAGGCCAAAAAGCTCCCATAGTGGGAGGGGACCCGAGGGGGGTTGCCCAACATCCCGGAGCTTCTAAGGTCTTCCATACACATTGCCACCCCAGTCAGGCTGTCTTCCCTCCTGATACTGGAATGAGTCTGCACCTCAGGGCCACTGACCTGACCAAGGAGAGTTACCCACATTGGCCCATTGCCCTCATCTATTCTGATCAGAGAACATAAAATATAAGTGTGATCTTGGGAGGAAGGGTTCACTATAATAATAATTACTAGAATTGTATAAAGCTATTTTCTTTCAGTTCACCATGTGCTTTCATGTAAATCGTTGTGCATAGTTCTTACAAGAGCTCGGTAAGGCAGAGAGAAGCAGACTTTATATATATATATATATATATATATATATATATATATATATATATATAAAACATGGCTTTTAAGAAAAGTGATAGAAAGAAGACTTGATCCCAGTTCTGCTCGCCTGGAAACCTTTGTTCTTTCACTCTGCCCCCACTAGCAGCTAAGAAGACTTGATATAAAATTTGAGATCTTCAAGTACTCTGAGTCTGTGATATTAAAATATATAAAAGTATGAATTATTTATCTTGTGCATAGAGATTCTCTTTTATTAAAGACTTCTTATAAGGATGAGGGCCTCAGTTACATCTTTCCAAAAACCAGAACAAGAGCATGGGGTGGTACTATGGGCAGAATGGGAAGTATTCGCCTCACTTCATTAATTTGGTGAAAACTGTGAAATTTTACTCTTTGCTGTTCACTTGCCAAATGTTTGAGGTGAGACAATGGATGAAACATGAAATGTTTAGTGAACCAAAAGCGTTTTGGATTTCAAAGTGTGTGTGTGTGTGTGTGTGTGTGTGTGTGTGTGTGTGTCTGTGTCTTTAATTGTAGGGATTGGCCATCATTCAACTGATTTACCAGGATTATCTGGAATTTTGATTCTGGGGTGGGGTAACCAAGCACCAACCAGAGTAGAGTAAATGGAAATTCATGATTATTCTAAGGGATTATAGCACTCTCTCCACCCCAAAAAAACAAGATTTATTCAGAGGGGACAGGGAGGGGCAGTTCCTATGCTACCTACAAATCTTCACTTTATTTCATCACATTGCCAAAAACTCTTCTGTGCTACTCAGTTATTTAATACAGTTGTTATTCAGTTGAATTCTTGGTTTATGACTTCTGTTTTTCAAAGGGCATAGTAAGACAATGCTGCTTTTAAAAAACTGAATAAGATACTGAAATGCAAACAGTGTTTGTCATTGCTTACGCATGTCTTTTCTTTAAAAATATCCACAATACACTTCTTATGTTAGACAAAATAGCTTTATTAAATTGTTATTATCAGATTTTAAAAAATGTGGCCAGATTGTTAAACTTGTAAGAGGAATGAAGAGTGATAAATTTATTTTGCTGTTTATGATTCTGGTGGAAAGAACTGTAGGCCTTTTGATAGTCAGGAGTGCATTAGGATAGGGAAGAAGAGAATTCTAGAAATGAGAAGAAGACATAACCTAGTTTGACTCTTTTGACAAATTTAGATCAGGAGATCCTTGGCAACTGTCCCCTGCTGGACTATACTGGATAAAACAGTAGTAATATTTTGGCTCCCGTGATGTAGTTGTAGGGCCATTGGCTGTGGAATGAGAAGACTGGTGGAACCCTGACTCCACCCCATCACCACATACACACATGCTTTTTGCTGATTCTGTGTTGAAAGGCAAGTTACTTAATCTCTCTAGTTCCTTGGTTGCCCATGTGAAACATGGGGCCAGTGCTACTTTTGACCATATAATTTTGAATTAAAGGAATTGCAAGATATTTGTATAAATACTCCTTTAAATGGCAAAACTTATTAAGGCATTGTCTTTTTTCACTGAAATCAATTTTTAATAGTTCTACTGACTTCTATTTAGTTATGTTAGATAACAAACTAATATTAAACTTGAATTGCCTAAAAGATGCTTCCCCCAGAAGTTCAGTATACTCCAGTGTCCTCGAGTTTCATATAACCAAACATATTTAATCTGAACAATGAAAAGTCAAGGGAAAAAGTGTGGCATAATGGTTAAGCACATAGGCTTTGGATTCAAAAGACCTGGGTTGAAATGCTCGGCTAGAAATGTGGCTTTGGGCAACGTAAATCAACTCTCTAAACTTCAGGTTCCTTCATCTTTAAAATGGTATAATTATACTGACATTATATAAGGTATATGTGGCACCTCATAAGGCCTAATTCATGGTAAATTCTCAATACATAGTAGATGTCTTTGCATATAATGCCTTTCTAATAAATATCCCCCAGATTTTCTGTAATCCTCAAGATAGTTTGTGAAAAAACAGATACTAGTCATATTCAAATAACAAAGTTGACAATAATTAAATCCTAATTACTAAAAAGTTATTTAATGGAATTCCACTTGCTCTTTTGTCCATATTTTCCTGATATCTGAACAGTTATTTTGGTAAATTGTCTTAAGGCATAAAAGTATCAGCTTCAGGTTTTCGTAAGAAAGTGTATCTATAGAATACAGGTACCTGTGTATTTATAGATAGGTACCTGAACTCTTTTTGACTAACTTTGGGAACAAAAGGTTGTTGAAATGGAAGACAGTAGTTATCAGGAAATTGAGGAGGTGGGGGATGTAGAAAAAGATAAAAGAAAAGTGTATCTATAGAATACAGGTACCTGTGTATTTATAGATAGGTACCTGAACTCTTTTTGACTAACTTTGGGAACAAAAGGTTGTTGAAATGGAAGACAGTAGTTGTCAGGAAATTGAGGAGGTGGGGGACGTAGAAAAAGATAAAGTTTCAAGTCATCAGAACATTTTATGTGAGTTAGGATTTTTTTAAGTAGCTATGACCTAGATTTTAACTTTCTAGAACAGAAAAAAACAAGTGAAGCAACAAATCAGAAATCACTAATTGTGTATTTAAAATCGTGTTTCCAAAAATACTGGTGGCTTCTGCTCTGACTCATTATCTGTATGCAGATAGTGCTGCTAGATAAAATAAGAATTGGTGGCTATTTCCTTAAAACTAAAGTGATCGAGGAGGTGACTTAGTGGATTGTGCTTTGTAGCATTAACAGATGAGTACATTTGTTACCTAAGAAAGTTAGGACTTTTCATACTGAAAAGGTAAGACACAGAGAATGCAAAGTCAATAAAAATATTAATTTTATATACAAGTTAAACACAGACTTTACAGCTTATGCTTTGTCCACATTTTGTATATTCAGTGCCTGGAACAGTTCCTTGCATCTAGTAAATGGTCAACAATTCTTTGGTTTTTAATGAAACAGTAAAAAGCTAAAATATTAATATTAGGTAAAACAGTTTTTGAAACTTTGGAGAGGTGATTTTAGGACTCTAGTCCAAATATGTGAATAGATTCATAGTTTGGATTAATTTGTAGATGATAAGTCCGTAATAGACCATCAAGAAGTATAAGTGATGCCCAACCTTCTGAAAATCAGCTTTTGAGAAGACTGCTTCAGAATATTTCTTGTTTCCATTGTGAGAAGCAGTGTGTAATTGAATGAAGGTTATAGTGTGGACTTACCATAACATTTCTAGAATAAAGAAGGAATTAATTTTAAGATGAGTAAGAAGGAGCTACAGATATTGTACATATAAATAATAATCATAATAATAACATTATGTTAAAGGACATAAATAATTAAAGAAAGCATATACATTTATGCCTAATGCCAAAGAAATTCTTAGGAGGGAAAAAAATTATAACCAAAGGTTTAGAATCCTGATTCAGCTTTTTCTATGATGGCAGTGTCTGAGAAATACTATCTTCCATTTAAGGATTAGAAATTTCCATTCATGTTTTAAATTTTGAAATAATTTGCTGGTGTTAATTTGTTATAGACCTTAATAAATGTCACTATGAAGTTAACCTACAATATTGAGGACCTATTTCTTCAAGTCTGCCAAAAGAAAAACTGGAAACTTATCTTATTTAATTTATGGGGATGTATAACGTGACTTTAATTTTTCTCTACCCTTAACCATATAACTTATATTGCAGAAATTGGAATGGGATTAACAGGATTTGGAGTGTTTTTCCTGTTCTTTGGAATGATTCTCTTTTTTGACAAAGCACTACTGGCTATTGGAAATGTGAGTTTTTAAATATATATTTTAACTAAATTTGTAAGGAAATTTTATATTACCTGCTATTAAATTTGGGAAAAATAATTCACTATTGCTTTATGTAATTTCTATTACATTCTTTATTTCCATCAGGAATGTAATCTGTCAGCTTTCAGTTTAAATAAAAGGTAAACACTTAGTGAGGTTTTCTAATTTTATAACTACTCTGTTAAGTGTTTGTTATGTGATTTACAGTAGATAAAAATGAATACTGCCTCTAAATAGGAATTCAATGACTTTGTAGTCCCATGTCTTTATCAGTTTGTTAAAATGCTTTCACTTTAAGCATCCAAGACCTCACATTTGATTCAACTGCATAAAATAAACAAATTTTTTAAAACTTTTTAAAAATATATTTTTATGTTAATGGTTGACTTACTTAGAAAGGAGCATATATATATATAAAATTTGGAGTGTGTACTATGCTATTCATGTGGGGAGAAATATTCTAGAGATAGAAAAATTTTAGAAATAATGAAAAACTCTTCTAAAAGCAATACAGTCACTGAATAATGGCTAAATATCTTTTGAAGCATATATATCATCAGGCTATTAATTGTAAATGGAAAAAGATAAAGGATAGCAAAATTGTTAAAAATTGGTGTTTTAATGAATGATAGTATCACCAGCATTGATAGCACAGAATATGAAGCTTAACCAATAGGCTTAATATATGTTTGTGTGGAATATTTTTCACTAAAGAAAATTAATGCAGGAGGACAAATATTTGGAAATAAAACATGAGAAAAAGCAATGTATATTTGAAAACACATGGTTGTATTTTTATTTATGCTGCCACCAGATATTCTGGAATTAATAAAACTAGAATCTTCTACCTGGCTTTACATTGTTCCTTCTACTGTCAGCTTAGCCATGTCAGTATTTCTCCCATCCATAGAAACTTATATAGCCCATGGCAAATATTCTGAGCCAAGAAGAATACCTTTGGGTGACATATTTATGGGCAGCTTTCCTCTCTGTGCTTTGCCAACTCATCTGCTTGACTAAGTTTTCTTCATTCAACTAAAACTAGGAAAACTACTGCAAACACAGATACCCCTTGGCAACATCTAATCTTTGTTTCTTTTTTTCTCCATTAATCAAGATAGAAGAGGAATGAAACGCGTGGAATACAACTACAACAACTTTAACATACATAACCCACTCCTTGGTTTAGCTTCTTGGTTGTGCATTGCAGTTCTTTCTGGCCAGTTGCCACATTAAAACCAAACAAATCTGCTTCTTTTTATGAAATTTAGCTTTGACTTTACTTTTTAAATGTATGCAGTATATTTACTTGTTCTGTGTTGCATTTTCTTTCTCTTCTAGGTCTTATTTGTGGCTGGCTTGGCTTTTGTAATTGGTTTAGAAAGAACATTCAGATTCTTCTTTCAAAAACATAAAATGAAAGCTACAGGATTTTTCCTGGGTGGTGTATTTGTAGTCCTTATTGGTTGGCCTTTGATAGGCATGATCTTCGAAATTTATGGATTTTTTCTCTTGTTCAGGTAAGGCAATAATTTTACTTTCTCTTTCAATAAACCAATGGGTCAGATAGTTATTACAAAAACCCAGATATATGCATCAGTGTAAGAAGATGATCGTTTGCTTTAAAAGAATTTTGTTTACATTGAATCTTTTCCGTTTCAGATCAATCAACTATAAAAATCTTTGTCAAATGTAAATCATTGTCTGGGTAATGGTATAAATTATCTTTAAAAATATTGTCACTGCAATACAAGTCATTGTATTGGCATTTAAGGCATCATTTTTATGTTTGATATTTTCATCAACTAGATAGATAGATAGGCAGATAGATAGATAGATGTTAGGTTGGTTGGTTTATTGATTCAGCATTATAGTACATAGACCCTTCATAGTTACTGCTGCTTGATTGCAGTTTGTTTAGTGTGTATGCATGTTAGAAAATTCTGTACCAAATATGCTATGGGAGATTTTGATCAGTTAATATTTTGCAAATCTCACTTAGCAAGTAAACAGCAATATGCATATGAGAAAACACTTTTAAGTAAGATTGGTCTTAATTATGTATTCCAGAAATGCATATTCTTGTCTTCTATCTACCAGGTATTGTATTACCCATGGGAGACATAAAAATGATTAAATGCCAAATCTGCTTTAGGGAGGCTCTCATTTTTAATATGGGAAATAGACTGTAAAGATATCAGTAGGATACAGTCATATTGCCATTATAGATATATATGTAAAATATTATAGGAAATAATAAATCCAGGGAGAGGTAAGAAATGTTTACTGATAAACAAGGCTTTAAAGAATGGGTAAGAATTCATCTTATGAAAGAGAAAGGGAAGGACAGTTAACTCGTCAGAAGGAACAGACAGCTTGTTTTGAAAATAATGAATGATCTGATAGAACAAGAGCATGGGATAAATGGAAGGAAATAGTTGCTAGCGAGACTGAAATGGAAGTTTGAAGCCAGATTGCAAACTTCCTTTGATAACTTGTCAAGAAAAGTATATTTTATCTTACAACCAAATTTTGCTAGAGAGCATTGTTTGGGGAGGGGAGAACCACAAAGATTTAACCAGGGTGGTGTTAGGAAGATTATTCTCATATCAGGATAAAGTGTGTATCAAAGAGAAAAACTGAAGGCAGAGAAACCTGTCAAGAGGCTATTGATACCGTACTGAATATAGAGTGATAGGATTGGAGTCTCATAACATTCCTGACATTTCAGGGTGGGTGGAGAGAAAGAAGGAAACACTGGAAGAGAAGACTAAGAGAAGAGGTGGGAGAAGAACTAGGAGTAAGCATCATAGTGGCCAAGAGTAAGGAAGAGGAGTTTGTCATGGCAGGTGTATCCCGCAGCAGAAAACTTAAACACTTAAGGACTATATGAAAATCATTGGCTTTCTCAATTCACAGAAATTCTAGTAATGAAGGTCAAAAGCCAAAGCCAATCTTTGACATGAATAAAGAATAGGAAGCTTTAGCATCCTTAATAAACTTGGAATAATACATTGGTTTCATGGTTTAGAGAAGTTTGTGGAATAAATACTGGTTTTTATTGTTGGGTTTTGTTATGTTCTGCGATATTCTTCGTTTTAGGTATAGTGCCAAGGGCCTTTGGCATTATTTTTCTAGATATTTATAATCCTTAATAATAGCATTTAAAATCATACGTGTTTATATTTTTAAAAAATACTTAAGACCAAAAAAAATGCTCCTTTTGAAAACAATTGTGATTGTCTTTGAAACATGTACTTATACCACCAGCATAAGAAGTAGTTCCCTAATTTTAAAAATCCTGCATTCTATTGAACTCTTTTTAGTCTATATATTTTGACTTCTGCAGATTTATAATAGGATCATATTGTTTAATTTCTGAATTCTATTCATTGTAGTATTTTATCCCTGTATGCTTCGGTGTGAAAAAAAAAACACAAACTCTTTTCCTCTGTCCTCTTACCGCAAGCATCACAGAAGACTCCTGTAACCAAATGTGTAGGAGTTCTCCCCCCCCCCGCACATCAAGCAAAGAATCAATTCTGCAGCAGACACCAGCTGAGTGTCCTCCAGTTGAATTCTGACGCTGTCTACATGGAGATGGCACCACATCACACAGGTTGAGAGCTCAGTCACACGACTGTCCCCCACTTTTAATTATGCCAGTCAAAAGCCTCAGGTTGTTTTACCTGTGCTTCTGACCAGCAGGTTGTAAATCAGGGTTTCCATGACCCCCTCTTCCATTTTGATTAATTTACTAGAGTATCTCACTGAACTTGGAAACACTTACTACTGATGCTTACTGATTTAATAAATGATATAAAAAAGGATGCAGATGAAGAGATACCATAGGGGAGGCATGGAGGAAGGGAAAACCCCTATACCCTATCTAGCCTACCACCCTCCAGGAACTTCCATGCTTTCAGTTATCCAGAAGCTCCCTGAGACCTGTCCTTCTGGGTTTTTATGAAGGCTTCATTTTTAGGCATGATTGATTAAATCATTGGTCATTGGTGATCATCTTCAGCCCCTCTCCACTCCCTGGAGGTTGAGGGATGAGGCTAAAAGTCTGAACCCTCCAATTTTGCCTTAGTTTTTCTGAACTAGCCCCCATCCTGAAGCTATTTAAGGGCTGCCAGCCACCAGTCAACTCATTATATACAAAAAGACATCATCTTGTATAGATTTTAAAGATATTAGGATTTGTATGCCAGGAAACAAAGTTGAAGACCAAATACATTTTTCATAGTATCACAATACCCATTTTAAGACCCAGAAAAAAGTTTATTTCCTATGTATTTTTTAAAATAAAATATTTCCTTTTGCTCCTATATAGAGGTGGCTTTTCTATGGTTAATTTTAAACTGGTTAGAAGCTGTGTAACTTCTATAGACTTGTATTTCTACCAAAAAACAAGACATGAGGGTTACCATCTGGCAGGTGTTGACACTTCGTATTTATTCAATAAATGATGCTATTTTTATTTTCATTGTTCTACACATATGGTCAGCCACTCTCTTTTGATCAGTATCACTCTACACAACTCACCATAGTTGAAGAAATCTTCAGCACTTGAACTGACATAACTCATAATCTGAGCATACAACATAGCTAGGCCTAATGTGCTTCTCACTTTTTTACCCACAATCACAACATTTTATTTTATTTTTTTTTAGATGACCAATACATATTTGTTGAATGGATTAATAAATTGAAACATTATACACTCTCAGCAAGGTAGATCTGGATTAAAATTTTGACTCACCAACTAGGCAATTTGATCTTTGGCAAATCGCTTAACATTTTTGAGCCTTACTTTTTTTTTTTTTTTTATTTTAAAGATGTGGGGTACAATTCAGGATTAGGTATATAAGTGATCATTGTACAGGTAAAGTTTGGACCTCCTTTTGGTCCCCACTTTGCCTGGTTTGAGATCAGGTACCCTTACTGATGTTGTGTTCCCACCCCTCCCACCTGCCACCCCCACTCCAGTAGTATCCCGCTACTGCCAATATCTTCCTTAAAGTATTATAGTAATTGTTCATGGTCTGCTTGTGGGTGAGAACATATGGTACTCTGTTCTTTGTTTCTGTGATAGATCACTGAGTATGATCGACTCTAAATTCATCCAAGTTGCTACGAAGTCAATGTTTGTCCTTCTTTATGGCTGCATATATTCCATTGAACAATCGCAAAATTTTTAATCACCTTTGTAGTTATTCATAATTCTAAGTTTGAAATCTCTCATATATTCAGAATTTTAATAGGATCCTTTTTTTTCCCACTTGGTTAGCAATTGATTTTGGTAATAGAAAATGTGTGACTATTAAGAACCTGTATTCCCTCTCCCAGGGGCTTCTTTCCTGTGGTTGTTGGCTTTATTAGAAGAGTACCAATCCTTGGATCCCTCTTAAACTTACCTGGAATTAGATCAGTAAGTAATCGTGTATTTGGCAATATATTTTTCTGACCATCAAAATATATACTCTTTGATACTTTTTACTTCTAGAAATTGAGTAATTGATACATGATTAATTGATTATTATGAAATAAATAGTTACATCACATAGATCACGGTTACCATGAATACCAGAAAATAATCATTGCTAAACTTTAAAATCTGAAATTCTGTTGCATTGTGTCCATTTTTAATATTGTTCTCTATTTTTAATCTTACTCAGATTGATATGCTATGTTACCTTTCTCTTTGAGAGTTCAAGGCATTTTTTTATCTACTTTTTATATAATCTCTAATTTTCAAAACAATAACTTTGAAAGAATACCATTATTTCTTGGAAATACTTCCTTCTGAGACTGTATTACCAAGTAGAGTGGATTAAGACAATTAAATGCTATTGTACTGGGAGTCAGATTCTATTCCCAGCTCTGTCCACAATTTGAACAATCCTGTCAGATTTGTTTTTCCAGTGTTGTGTGCCTTCTTTTCCAGCTTGATAAAATAGAGAGAATCAAATCAGATCGTAAATAAAGAGAGCATTTTAAAGATTAACGAGTGGAGTTTCTTCCCTTCATTCAGTATTCATTCAGCAAATGTTTGGTACTAAACTGCTAGCTTGAAGGTTGTAGTGAAGGCTCAGAAGTCCTTTCTGAATGCAGCTTATTTATTGCCTCCTTAGAAAAAGGTTTCCTGACTCCCTGTGGCTAGTTTGGGATGTGCTTTTAGAGCATACCTGGGCAAACTTCCGTCATAGCATTTGCCTCTGTTTTAATTGTCAAGAAAAAGGCTTCCACATAAACTACAGACTTTGGAAGCAGAGATAGACAGTATTGTGGTCACTGTTCTACCCCCAGTGACCAGCATACTACCTGGCATATAATGGGATTGCAACACATTTTTGTTAGATGAATGAATGAAAGATGGTATTTTGTTGGCCTCAGGGAACTTGGTCAATTTGAAGACAATTCCAATTGACTTTCTTCTAGCCTACCTCCTTATTCAAGTTTCCAAACTAAATGAAATTCTTAAATTCTAAAAGAATCTGGGTGGTCTAGAATTCAGCCGAGTTTGGGCCAATTCTTTTGACAGATCGTACTCATGTCAGAAATATGCATGTCCTTATTTGGATTGATTTCATAGTTCCAAGTCTATCTTACACAACTAGGATAAGCTGGCTTTAAAGGCAAATTTGAAAAGATCACAATTTCTAGTTAGGTCCAGAGAGTTCGTCAACTTTTGAAAGTTGTTCACAGATTTTTATAAATCTTTCTAGAGAAAAGGTTCATAGCATTTATTCAATTCTCAAAGAGCTGAAGGATGGCTTACCCACAGAAGAATAAGTACCACTATAAGCCTAATCCCTTTTCCATCCCAGGTGAATTTTAGAGTAAGAGATTTAGAGCAAAGACAACCTAGATATTTCAAGTTATCTTTGGAGAAAGGATGTCATGCTTTTTTTTCTCTCCATTTAAATTTACCTTAAAATTCGAATGGATTCTGTCAGAGAAAGTTTTAGTTTTGGTGTGCCAGTCACCTATTTGTGATAATATAAAATGTTGGTACTAGGCTTATAGGAGTATACCCTGATTTCATTTGCATTAATCTCCAAACTCATACAGTAATCAATGTTATTTATGTTGAGAATGGATTTTAAATTTACTGACACTTCTAGTTACAGTCTTATGAACATTATTTGTGTCCTTAATTTAAGTAATCTGTAGAATTTGCATAAATGGATACCCAATACAATAGATTGTTTCCTATCATTACTACTTTATTATAATAAATACTTAAGTAAAAATATGAATAATTAAGTGAAAGAAATAGATGATTGCTAGAATTTGATAGTATTATAACCACTTGGGTTTTAATATCTCCACTAATATTCCACAGTATTCTGTTTCAATCTTTATGTCACCATCTAGAATGCTGAAAAAAGCCAAACTGTTTTATGTTTGGGATAGAGTAACCAAAGTAGATAACCACTTGCATTAATGTGTGTTAAAATTTATATTTAATTATTATAAATTTATGCTTGCATCATTAAATCTTTTTTTAATGTCATTGCCACTTTCAGTCTGAAGTCCAGAATACACAATTAAAGTATTTTTTAGTCAATAACTGTTGTTAATTATTGAACTTAATGGAGTTAAATCTGTTTGTTCAAAGACTACATAGGCCCCAGAAGAGATCCACAGTAATGGTCAGTTGAAATATCTTATTGGGTTCATTAATGCATGAATGGCTGATATTTCAATTTTTTCATTTTTTTTCCTTTTTTGTTAAGCTAGCAGTGTTATCTTCATTTTACAATTTTTTTATTCATTGTGTTGCATTTTTCATGTTGCACCCTTAAATTCATATGTATAACATGTCATGCAAAAACAATGTTTAGAAAAAAATTTTTTATACACATTTACTTATCAGAAGATGGTGGTGAGTAGTACTGAATTAATCATTGTCAGTCACACCTTAAATTTCCACAAAACTTGTAAAGCTGGGTTTTTTAATCAACATTTAAAATGTTGGTATAATGTTTTATAATGCTGTAGACTTCCTTTAATTATCTGTTTTTCTTCTCCTTACAGTTTGTAGATAAAGTTGGAGAAAGCAACAATATGGTATAACAACAAGTGAATTTGAAGACTCATTTAAAATATTGTATTTATAAAGTCATTTGAAGAATATTCAGCACAAAATTAAATTACACGAAATAGCTTGTAATGTTCTTTACAGAAGTTTAAAACGTATAGGCTACAAAGTACCAGCAGCAATTAGCAAAGAAGCAATGAAAACAGGCTTCCAGTCAAGAGATCTAAGAAGTCACCAAGCAAACTAAGGGAGATGAAATCCATGTTACAATGCATATTGAAACTCTTGAAGACTATTTGTATTGCTTTTCCACAATTTGCAAAACACAGCCATCCTTAGAGAACTGTGGTGCCTGCTTCTTTTCTGTTTATGTTGAAGGCTCAGGAGTACCCATAGGCATTTGCTTTTTAGAAATATCCACTGTAGTGACAAAAATATTTCCAGTTGCACCGTGTCTCTGAAAGTGATGCATGACTTAGATTAGATTATGTCATTTTGATATATTAAAAGGAAGGAAAACACAGTTTTGATGTATGAATCACTTTTTATTTGTAAACCTGGTTGAAATGTTTGTGATTCTTTTGAATCTTAATATTTTAAAGCCAGATGAAAATTGAACTAGGTATTCTTTGTTGGAATATGTAAAGGTAATTTTTACTAACTCTTAGTTCCTAAATTATAACTGACTACGTTTGGTCAACAACACACTCTGGAAATACTCATACTTCTTGGGAGTCTGCCCTTCTAAGTATATGTATCATTCATTACATGTAAGCATTTATCAAAAAGCATTCTTGACCATGAAGTAGTTGGTTTCATAACATGTCTCATTAAATAGTGTTTTATTTAAGATAGTAAATGATGTGAACCAAATGGATTTTTCCATATCATGATGTAATTTTTTTCTTTTTTTTTTCTCAGATATAGCAGTGGTTTATTATTTTGTTTTCATAAAGTAAAATAACTTGGTAATGTATAAGACATGTTAAAAGGTTAAACTTATGACTCTTTTTAAAGGGCTATTCATTTAATGAGTTTTTCCTTATTTTCAACTTTTTCCTAACATACAAAAATCATTATATATAACGTGTATTTCATATGATCACTCTTAATCTTGAGTAAATCAAGAAAATACCTGAGTTTACTTGCTAAAGTTATTTTAATGTAATTAAACTAGCTATAGTTTCTTAAAAACATAACACTAAAAAGATAATTTTTTTCTACCATTGCTGATTGACAAACAGTAGGAAATAGCAGTTGTTTCTTCTTTAATTTTCCAAGATATGGCAGCTTTTATGATAGATATAGGAACACATGTCAACAGCTACAGTACTATTTGTTTTACCACTAATCATTGCACTGTTTACTTTTTTTAAACAGTTGCAAAGCTTTTTAATGCATGAAATTATAATCAAAATTTGTAGTATTTATTTACAAACATGTCTACAAAAATATGTTACAACTTATTTTATTTTTAGTTAAATCTCCTTATGCACAGAGCACTCCCAATCTTGTTCATCTAAAGAAGGAAAGACTTGGTATATAGTGTAATGGTTCAGTCTTGTGGATTACTGACTTTTTTGGTACTTGCATTTGACTAATGATCTAATCTGTGAAAATGTGACAATATTGACAAATGGAGACGCCTACCTCAATAGTTCATGGAATAATAAAAGCCTAGTATTGTGTCATGTTCTTCAAAAAAGTAATATCCTCACTTGGAGAGTGTCAAATATATATACTTTGAGGATCAACTTATATAAGGTGCCCTGTAGAATTCTGTTACACATATTTTTGACTGACCCCTATTATTTTTAGTGGTTGGATAATTCTGTCTTTTTAGAGCAAAATGGTATCTGTTAATGTAAGGAACATATGTATTATTTATCTCCTTTGTAAACATGAATTTCTATTGAAATGTTCTTTGCACTATAACAGAGATCCCTTTTCAACAATCTTATTTCAGAAAGCATTATTAGAATTGAAAGAATTTGATAATCTACCAATCCTTAGTAAGATTGAGAGGCTGGAGCAGTTTTCAGTTTAAGTCTGTAGTTAATATCAAATGTGAGTTTGGGACTACTTGGCAGCATTGTATATTTCTTATTCAGGACCCTTGATGGCTCTATTTTTAAACATATTAATCTGATAGAAGCACTATATAGCCTATTGTTTCTTCATATCCAAAATCAGCCCTCTGTCTTTGTGATAAAATGTACTTTGATAATTTCTCTACAGATGGAGGAAGAGGTCTAATACTATGTAGCCTTAAGTGTTTCTGTCATTGTTCAAGTGTATTTTCTGCAACAGAAACAAATTTGGAGTGTTTTTATTTTCCCCTTATAAACTGTAATTCCTGGAAAACTGCTGCTTTAAAAAGTCTCACTTTCAGATTATATTATCCAACAATTGAATATTGTAAATACACTTGTCTTACCTCTCAATAAAAGGGTACTTTTCTATTAATTGATGGCCAAGTATATCTTTATTATGAAATCCTAAAAATTTAGCATTGCAGAATAATCCACCTCATTTTTTTAAAAGCCTTAAGTGCAATTTTTTTCTTGCTTATAAAATGGTCTTCACATCTTTTAAAATATACTCAAATACAGATAGACTTCAAGTAAGCAAAACCTTTTTAATTTGAGAACTAGTCAAAAAATGCTACTTGCCTTGGGCAATATGCTATTTTTAAAATCATACTCTAAGGTCTGCTAACCATTTGGTTATTCAACAGACATTTTCTGAGTACTTCTTGAGAACTTAGTCCTGTGCTGAATGCAGAAGATCCAGGAAAATAAAATGTGGCACCTGTCCATGAAGAGTTTGTAACTTAAACATTATTTGTAAATTCTTAGCCTCATTTCCAAGTAACTAGTACTACAAACAAATGGTGGTAGAAAAACTTGTGGGCTAAACACCCTAACCTCTTGTTTTTTACCAGTCGAGAGTTTTGTGTTTTTTTAGGAGATTTTCTTTTTTAACGTAAGCCTAGGAATTCAGAATTGTCACTGCTGTTCGTAATGTGCTTTTTTATTTTTTATTTTTTTTTGAGTCAGGGTCTTATTCTGCAGGGCAGTGGCACAGTCATCATTCACTTGAGTCTCCTGAGCTGGGACTACAGGCACGTGCCACCATGCCTGACTCATTTCTTGATTTTTGTGGAGACAAGCTCTTGGCTATGTTGCCTAGGCTGGTCTCAAACTCCTGAGTTCAAGCAGTCCTCTCACCTTGGCCTCCCCAAGTGCTGGGATTACAGGTGTGAGCCCAGAATTTCAAATGCTAGAGGCAGTTGGGACAGTTTACTGAGAGCTGCTACAATTGCTACCATTAATTGCAATATTTAAAATTTAGAATTTAGAAATTAGTGAGAAATGCTTAAGGCTTTTTTCCCAAAATGGAATAAAAATATAACACTTAAGTATTTGTCACCTAATCAAAACCACTTAACATCTGCAGTTTTTGATGATAAATTTTGCTAAGGCCAAAAAAAACCACTGGCCACGTACTACCACTTAAAGTACCCAGTATTTGTTGAGTTCAGTAATTTCACTGCAAATCTTGGCTATTGTCAGGTGAACTGGAAGTCTAGAGTCTGTTATTAAATATCCAGCATATCTCACTAACCTTGTACTGGGCTGAAAGAGTCCAGCCTTTGGTCTTTTGCTACCTGTATCCATGCGGGAGATTGGACACAGGCAGCATGCCTGAAATTCTTCCAACAACTGACAATGTGCTATTCTATGACCTTAACTTTACTCAACTTTCAAAGACTAATTAAAATATCACTTTCATTTCATCATATCTTTTCTGACCTACTAGGCCAAGACAGCTGTTCTTTGTCCCCTTGTCCCATCGTAGAACTTTCCACTTGTTTTGTATTGATTTGGCTACGAAAAGGATTGTTGAGGTTCAAGGTCTCTTCTTAGTTTGTATCCCAAATTTTGCTTAGTAAATGTTGGTGGAATAAATGAAAGTTAATTTTTCCAGCTCTTCTGTTGCTGCCCCGCTCATTACCTCTTATGTGTTGAAATCAGCCTCATGGAAGAAGGTGGTGTGTATCAACCATAAGTTGAATCTAACAATCTGGCCCCTGCAGAAGTCTGTATTTCTGCTTCACATTCCTTATGACTTGAGAGGTTGACATTACTGCACCCAGCAAGTTGTCAGTAGAGAAAAGAGGAATCATAGGCAAAGGAAAGACTATTCTTGCAGATTGGCTGCCCTTCACTAGAAAAAGGGAGGCTGCTGAGGAGACCGGGAAGACTCTGCTCAAGTTTTGAGGCTGGTGTGAATCATTGACTCGGTTTTCCTGTCTTTTTCATATGAAATGGAAAGGGAGTTTTGGAGTTTTGTTTTCCTTTTTCAAGATAGTGACTTTGTTTGTCATTGGAGTTGCTCTTATGAAGAATTATCCTAAAGAGAAACTTAAGAAATAAACTTAACTGAAGAAAGCCAGAAATAATACTCTGCAACAAGAGAGGTTACTTGCACAACAATCACTCACAACGCTGATAATAATGGGTAATTGAGTCCCTGAAGAATACCTTTTGGGTATGATGCTTGTGATCCTTTGGTGCAGCTGTGAATTCTGTGACATTAAGACTGGTCTTAATGATAAAACACTAACTACCATTTAGTGTCGTGTGAAGTCAAAATCCTAAGCGAAACTCAGGATTTACTGCAATTGTTATGAAGGTTAAAAGAATGAATTAAAAAATGAACATCAAAGAGCTTTGTCAAATTTAAAGTGTTATGAAAATATTATGTATTGTCATGAGAGTACTCATATTTCTGGCCTAATGACATAGATGAGAAGTAGGACCACCCTCCTGTTTGATGATCACACCTACCAACAGCTAGTTGCTCACCCTAATTCACATTACAGAATTATTGGATCATTCTTCATATTTCTGAGTTATCGATATTTACAAGACTCAACAGCTCCAAAGGGCTATCAGTGTTAGTATTTTGATGCTTCCATCTTTATTCAAGAACGTTTTTGTTATTTTATCCTTTAGCTTTGCGCTGCTCTTAGATAACACACTAGTCCACCATTAGCAGCTAGGCGGCACTGTGAGTTACCCTGTAGTAACGGTGGCTGTACATTAATTTATATGCACTATTCTAAGTCATTTTGGAAATAAGTGTTAAAATGTTATAATCCAGAAAATAGTATGAAATAGGTGAACTTGAGCCTTCCCTGCTTCACTTTTCTTTATCTACTCCCCAACTCTCTAAATAATTCATCTCTTGACTTTCCTCAGAAAATCATGTAATTCTAGAGAGAGGATCTGAAAGGGTTTGTAAACAGAGAAGAACTGCAACATTATCTGTCCCAGGATGTGAGTGCTTTGGGAATCAAAGCCTTAAGTAAAAGGAAGACTGGGTATAGACCGATGAATGGCTTTCTTGATGTCCCTAAAGCCTCTCCTGAAATTGGTAGCCCTTTGGGAAAATGACTTCTTCCAGACAACTGGCCTACAGTAGGGCTGAGTGGCCTTGCAGCAAATAAAGCCAAGGAAGAAGATTAGACCTATGTCCTCATTCATGCTGTGCCAACCCAAATTCTCTCTATTCTGTCACCAGTAAAGTAATTTGGATATTTTGTACTATAATAGCCACATTGTACAGGTAATCTTAGCCAAGACAGCAGCTGTTTTCCACATGAACACAATCACTAACCTTGAAAGAATGCCTTTTAAATGGTGATGGGTGATCGTTGTTTAAATGGGACCTGGACATCCCACTGTCAACTACAAGAATCCTCATACTCAGTGATGAAGGCAAAAGGGTCTCCACTGAATATGCCTTTTAAAATGGTTTAGGAGTCAATTTGTTCAATATCCACCACTTGATCATGCTATCTGCAGAATAAAATCCAATGACTTTACCCATCTTTTTGTTTGTTTTATTTACCAAATACTGTCACATAGCCCATCTATCTCTTGGTTTAGACCTGTAAAAATCTTTAAAGTTCTTGATTTAACAAAAACATTTTATTCAGGGTCAGTGCCCTTTGGAAATCCTTTTAGAAGAAACAGGCTGGCATGTTACTCTTGAGAAGATTGCAATATTGAAAACATGTCAAAACCATTCCATTCAGTTGTGGATGTTAAACTTGAAAATGGCAGCTTTGACGTAAAACATCTGCCTGTGAATTCATTAGCTAAACTACTATAAACAAATCACAGTTATTTTCCTTAAAATTTTAAGTTCCAAACATGTTTTATTGGTGATTCATTTTCCTGTTCCTCTTCCTAAACTTTTGAGTTTTAGGTATGGAGAGAGGAGAAAGACATTTTACTTATTTGTTATGTAACCTAGTAATTGGGTTTCTCTTATGATTTTATTATATAAAACATAAGCACAGCATATTTTATTGCTTTTATAGCTCTTTTTTGAAGGAGCATGCTACAATCCGTTGAAATTAAAATCCTAAAATTTAACATTTAAAGCAGTATTAAATTTTATTTAGTTTTGGTTAAGCTTTTAGTTTTTCTTTTTCTTCTCTCCTAGGACAGTAGAAATAAAACACTACACTAATGACTCTGGCTCTTTTTTGGTTTACTTCTTTCTTGAAAACAGTAAGTAGTTCTCAAGTTTCCACCTACAAACTACTTTCTATATTCCACTCTCATTCACTAACCAAATCTCAGTTTCCTGTCTGCATATGACTGTCAAACCTAAATAGCGCCCAAATTCCAAAGCATTTGCCAGTAGATAGCATAAGCAAGTAGATAGCATCAGCTGCTCAAACTGATCCCAAGCGAATCATTTGTGTTCTCTCCTCAGACTCCCTGATGTTTCTATGTCTATTCATTCTCCCAGCCACCACAGACTCTAAGATTTAGTTTTCATCACTTCTTATATTCCCTAAAGCTTTGTTACTCAAATATCCAAGGATCGATTGCACCTATCACCTGGGAGTTTATTAGGAATACAAAATTTCAGGCCCCAACCCAACTATATTGAATCATAATCTGCATTTTGACAAGATTCCCAGATAATTCCTGTGCACATTAATACCTGGCAACCTCTGCCCTCTAGCTGAGAAGAAAGGCACTGACTGCTCTGGTCTTAATGTTTTGTCCCTCCAAATTTTATATATTGAAAACCTAAACCCCAATGTGATGTAGTGACCTTTGGGAAGTGATTAGATCATGCCCTTACAAAAGCACCTCAGGAAGTTTTTTTTGCCCTTCCCACCCATGTAAGGACATAGCAGAGAAGTCAGCAGCCTGCAACCCAGAAAAGGATCCTCATCAGAACCTAATCATGTTGGCTGGTACCTTGATCTTGGACTTCGCAGTTTTCAGAACAGAGTAATGAATTTCTTTTGCTTATTCGCTATCTAGTTCACTGTATCTTGTCATAGCAGCCCAAATGGACTAAGACAGGAACCATCTCTTTTGATTATGGTACCTTAGCATATCATGGGTACTCAGACCCTTGTTCAGTTTCTGCCTATGTATATGTATATGTATAGCTCTTTCAACTGAATATCGGTATACTTTGGTTCCTCTCTCTCTTGCCTTCTAAGAATTTCCTTTTCCTGTTCCCTTCCTTCTGCATCGTCAATTTCTCCTCTACTGATCATTCTCATCAATATATGTGTCTTATAAATGGTTTCTTAGTTGTCATCAACAGAAACCAACAAATCTGTCTAATTTAATAAAATCTTCTTTTGAAAGTATGATGGCTTTTGAGAATAAAATCAAGATTGGAGTCATTGAATAGTGAATAAGATATGAGGAATTAAAGCCAAGTATGAGCAACCTTTTTTCAGAATGTCACAAAAGAGGGAAAAGAAACAATGAGTTTTTTAAAGGCAAGATATCTGAGTTTGGTGAATATTTGTTATTCGTTTTGGCCTTCTGGTAGCATCCACAACCTTTTGTTTTTATGAAATTCCCCAAATTCTCTAAATTATGAATTATGGAATTATAAATCTCATTGGGAGGCAGAGTCTTCCTTCTATTGTACAAGATGCCCAGTACTCGCTTGTCCGGCCTCCTCCTATTGGTAGTGTGTGGGCACATGACTTGGGCTTCACCAATCAGATGTAGATACTCAGAAGAGAACTCTGGAGCAGGAATAGAAGTGCCCTGGTAAAGAAGTGGTTTTAGTAAGGTTGAGTTTCTGGAGCAGCACTAGCTACAGTGCTAGTGGCAAATCCCAACATGCAATTCTCAAGGGATGATAATGTCAGCCACGGTTTCCATTTAATAAAGTCTTCTGTGAAAAGAAGTATCCAAAATCCAGTGGATACTTTTTGGAACTCATGTTGCTTGACTTCCCAATATTAAAGTTGATGATTTCTATCTTTAAGAAAAACTATAGGCTGGTGATCTCTTTGCCCAGCTCTATAGAGTTTTGCATTTCCAAGGGCCTATTTAGTACTTCCACTTGGATATCTAACATACATTTTAATGTTAGTATGTCCATAAGACAACTCTTAATTTTTCTCTTTTAAGTGGTTCCTTAAGAAGTCTCTCCAATTTCAGTAAATTGTTTCATTTACCCAACATTTAAGGTACAAACCTAAGAATCACCTTTGATTTATTTTTTTCTTATACTCTCATATCCCATTTATCCACAAGTGCCATATTTTCTTCCTCCAACGTATACTTCAGACTTAATTGCTCTTTCATTCCCTGCATGTGCTGCTCCAGTCTAAGCCATTGTTATCTTTTGTTTATAACCGTATTTCTACGTGTTTCTTCCTCTTGGACTCATTTCAAAGTTCTCTTCCCTGTCATCCATACAACTTTGCCTCCATTGCCCTCTTTCCCATTCCTTGAGCAAGCCAAGCTCTTTGCTGTCCCAAGATTTTGCTTTCCTTTTTTCCGCTGAGAATGCCTGGAAAACTAATTCTCACCCTGATTTATTGTGTGACTTTGCCTTATCCTTCAAGACTCCCCTCTATTTTTGCCTTCCCTGATGTAGTTCACCACTTACTCTATCAACATCATCTTGCATATTTTTATTAATAACTTAAAACATTCTGTAATTATAGTAGTCCCCACATATCTGTGCTTTTACTTTCTGTGGTTTCTCATGGTCAACCACAGTCTAAAAATATTAAATAGAAAATTCCAGAAATGAACAGGTGATAAATTTTAAATTGCACGTTGTTCTGAATAGTGTGATAAAATATTTCACTGCCCCACTCCATCCCATCCAAGACACGAGTTATCCCTTTGTCCAGCATGTCCACATGTATTTTCTTTTTCTTTTTTTTTTTCCTTTCTTCTTTCTTTTTTCTTTCACTCTAGGAGAGGACTAGGTTGCAATGTTTTATTACTGCTCACCCATTATTCATTTAATAGCAGTCTTGGTTTTCAGATTTTTAAAAACCTAGTATATAAGTATACGTGATACATATAAATAAATAGATGTACTTTATTACCTGTTTTTTAAATCAATTTAGAGTGTTTCTGTCCTTAGAGAAAAAATGAATTTGACTAGAAGGTGTGATCAAAGCAGAGACTCTCTTTTGAGTGCATGTTTGTGTCTCTTGAACTGAAAGGAAGATGGTCTGATATGTAGAAGGCATTCAATAAATATATGATAAATAATTGAATGGAAAGCTAATTAAGTGAATGACTGATGTTAAATTCCATTAAGATCCCCTAACCTTTTCATTTCTACCCCAGTGATTTATCTTTATCCACCAGTGATAGCTTGATAGCTAGTTACATAGTTTTCTTACATTCATTGACTTTTGATTCTACTTTGGACTATTGATTGTTTTCATTAATAATAATAACAACACAGTGTTTTGGGTAGCTAGTAAGAAAAGCAAAGATAATGATGCCAATACATTCTGAATGTCTCCTGACTGATGTGATCAATATCTAAATAAATAATGTCCACCCATCAATCATCCCTCTACTTCCTGCTATTGATTCTCCCTGGAGGAGTCATCAGATTCTCTCAGTCTTGGTAACTGACAAGATGTCCCTGTGGACTCCTTAACTCTATTCCATATGGGGAGGGGTCCTTGACACCAAGATTTTAAAAGCCCCAAATTCAGAACAAAATTAGAAAACTCACAGGTAAAATAGTAGTCATTGTAGGGTTCTGAAAATAAGTGGAAATGATGGTAAGTGGAGGTTCTATTCACATGAGACTTTTTAGCTATTTTATAAAAAGTGTTATAGATTCTTACCCTTTTTATGTTTAATAAACATTTTAGAGGATAAAGGATGTTTGAACAATATGCCTTTAGAGTAGCAGAATCATATGATTTTACTCACAAAAAATTCACGTAAGAATCCATTCTTTATTTGGGTGAGGTAATGAAAATAACCTCATTTAGAAATTAATATTTCGAAATAGTTTTAAAAAGTGGACTCTGAATTAACTAGAAGGTAAATTGGGGAAATACCTCCGTATACTGAGTATTAAAACAGAACATAGCAACAAGTAAGCGGTGTGAAATTGCCCAGGCATCAAGGAAGGAGGCACAGAAATGACCCTCTTTGATTTGGTCATTTTACGTAGGGCCTCAGAGGTCTGGCAGCAACCATCTTGGCCCTTTTCCTGGTGTTTTCTTTCCTGGGAAGTTCCAGCAGCGCTCCACAGGTAATCAAATGCAACAGACAGGGCTCCTGGGTGCGCTTTGGATGCCCATTTACTTTTTTTCTTCTTACTTTTTTTTTTTCTTCCTTTTGCTCTATGGGAGGGCTGGGATGCAACGTGTCATTAACCGCTCTTCTCTTCTCCCGGGCTTTAGGGACTGTTTGAGAGAAGGAACTGGACTCCTCAAGCTATGCTCTACCTGAAAGGGGCGCGTAAGTTCCAAATACTTTGGTCTTCCAACAATAGCAGAAGGGTGCATGAATCCATGAACAGAGAGATGGAGCACTATGGAGAGAGAAGAATATCGCGTGTGTTCCCTTAAATATCCGAGGCCGTCCTGGTCTCTGTTTATCCAAGAGACGGGTAGGTGAGGGAGGGTGGCGAGGGTTTAGACCCCCTGAGTATTAGAAATCCTCCATCCTACACTGGGGGGTTGCGGTCTCTTGGTGCAAATGGGGACGCTGAAGTTGCCTGGGAAACGCCGCGCCGGCTGGCGACAGCGACCTCCGCTCCGAAGAGACCCTGGCAGCCTCCGGCCGGGGACCAGGGTTCGGGGGCGGGCTTCCCTCCCGGTGTCCGGGGCGCCTGGCTCAGCCCCGGCTGCCACGCGCGACCCCGACGGGGGGAAGCCGCTCCGCCAGCCGCTCCACTCCCGGCCGGCAGACTGCGCGGCGCCCGGCGGCTGTAGTCTAACCCCCGACTGTGTTGGGCGCCGGGCGCGGAGCCCGGTGTCTCGCCTTTGCAGAGGGGCGCCGCTTCATCTCAGACCACAGCCGGAGGAAGGACCTGGCTGACAGGCCAGCGCCGGGTGAGTGACAAGGGAGCAAGGGCGCTGAGCCCCTTGGAGCGGGATGGGCACGCAGGGCCCTCTCCGCCCTGGCGGAAAGCCATCTGAGCTGCCCCAGGAGGCGGCGCGCCCGGGTCCCTGTAGCTGCGGCGGCGGGACGCTGAACGTCGCAGCTGGCTATTCGATTCGTCCAGCCCGCCACTGATCAGGGTAGGGGCGACCGAGCCCGGTGCTAGTCCCCAGGCTTAACTGGATTTCAGTCGCTCAGCCCCGCCTCTGGCCACCCGGGGGTGCAGAGGTCCCCAGGGAGTTAGTTAACCGGCGACAGGCAAGACCTGGAAAAGGGTTAAGGAGGGGATAGAAAGCTGTGCAAATGCTTCTAGAAACGTACCTGAGTGTCTATGTAGGACTTTCACTCAGTTTTCTCTGAAACATTATTAATATTAAAATTCGAACTTACCTAGGAACTTGAAAAGTATACTTCTATTTTGCTGCTACAAAGAGCCATCAAAAAGATTCAAAGACAAAAGTAGCTAAGTAGAGGCTACAAAACATGGGGACTCAGGACGGGGTTCTTAGCTTCATGATAAACCTTTCTGTGTCACTGGATTAAAGCATAACAATGCAATTTGATAAAATGTTAAAATTGAAATGTTTTAAGCATTTTTTTAAAAAACTTATTTTGAAAAACAACAAACACTGTTGAACACATAGTAAGCGCTTTAGCAAATTTTTGTTTAGCTTCTTCAGGAATGCAGTGTAATTAAGCTGATTCATTTTATGAGAGTAAGATTCATTTTTTCATATCAGTTGCCCGCAATTAAAAAATCATGGAGCCGGGCTCGGTGGCTCAGCTTGTAATCCCGCGCCTTTGGGAGGCTGAGGTGAGTGGATTGCCTGAGCCCGAGGGTTCGAGACCCGCCTGGGCAGCGAGACCTCATCTCTACAATAAATCAAAAAATCAGCTGGGCGTGGTAGCGCATGCCTGTAATTCTGGCTACTCGGAAGGCTGAGGTGGAAGGATCGCCGGAGACCAGCAGGCGAGGCTGCGGTGGCCGGGAGCGGCCACTGCACTCAAGTCTGGGCGACCGAGTGAGACTCCAACTCAAAAAAAAAAAAAAATCATGGTTTGTGTCATATCAGAACAGATTGTCCTATGCCAATTTAGATTTGAAATAATTTCACATACTTAGCAGACACTCCTTCGGTCAAATAATTACCTTATATGTGACCAGGAAAGCAGTTTATTACCTCAAAGTACTTTTGAAAGAAGAGAAGAGGTGATCTAAGCTCCACACAGGATCACATTCATACATTTCCTCACAGACATTCATTTTAAGCTGTGAAGGGGGAAAGTTCTCATGGGCTCTTAATATATTAATCTTTCTTTCTTGAAATTCTCTTAGTATATAGTTTTAAATTCTCTTCCATATTGTGTATAAACTTGACATAAACAATTGTAAGTCATTTTCAAGGGAAATGTGATATGTCTCCATTTGTAAAAATCAGTCTTCTGTGTAAGAGGCCCTTTACTTGAGGGTCAAAATCTATTTCACAAGGTTTTTCTAGTATTCTAGCATACTAGCATAGAATTTATCTGTATGAATACTTAGATGCTAACAGAATATGGTTTTTGTTGTTTTTTTTTCTTCAGAAAGACGAAGCCCAAATCCCCAACTACTAACTCTTCCAGAGGCAGCCGCCCTATTACTGGTTTCCTTGCAGAAACCACAAGAAGGTACAAGTATAGTGACCTCTTTCAGCTGTAAGACAGAGCACCTTTGCTTAATTTTGGGATTCTGGTTGCGTACAGTCCTCTTCCCCAAGAGATTTACAGAGATGTTTATTGTGTAAAGACCAGTATATTTTTCATTAAAGTGAGTACCAAAAACATTTACTTGGTAAGACTGAGGAATTTTATGAATTTCCCAATCCGTAGCCTGTTGTAAACTATTTCTTTTTGAACTCTTAAAACTGAAAAAGCTTAAAGTCTAACTTCATTATTTTATAGTTGAACAAACTGCGAACAAAAAGATTAAGTAATCACAAACCTCACTATTGAAAGTTAAAACACATGAAATTACTGGAAGTCAACCATTTTTTAAAGCACAACAGTTAGTTTCATATGGTTCACTCCAAAAAAGATACAGGCAGAATCTGACTCCAACTCAAAAAAATAAAATAAAATAAAAAATAAAGTATTGCACTAGAAAGTTTAACATGGTGATAATGATAATATGATAATAATAAATGAAAAATTTTGTGGATATGGAGAAGAGTTAAATTCAAGGTGATAGAGACAGTCCAGTGAATAAGGAGTGTAGGTCAGTAGTTCTGGTTACATCAGAATTACCTGGAGAACTTAGGGAGAAAACATAAATTTCTTGACCTTATGCCCAGAGATCCTGATTATGTCCTACTTGAGTGAGGCCCCAGAATCTGTATCCATAAGGAGTTCTTACAAATTATTCTGATGATTTTTTTTTCTTACAGATGAGGAAGAAAATTTTGATCAAACCAGATTCCTGGAAAACAGTCTGCTAAACTGGTGAAAAATGTATCAGATTATGCTCAACTATAGTTCTATTCTTGTTGAAAATATGAACCATGTGAATAAAACCCTTGGACTCCTTTCATTCCACTTGTAATCTTAGGAACTTGCATAGCTAGTTTTATTCTTTCAGAAGTGAAAAAAGTATAGAGCACTTGACTGAGAACATCACCATCTTTTTTCATTGCTTTGGATTCTGTTTAGATCATCAATATTTAGATCACTTTGTGTTTAATATACTCCTCATTTGTAATTATAAGGCTGCAGACTCTGAAGTGTTCTTTCCTTTTGTTGCAACCAGTACCTGTCTTGGTCTTAGTTGTTGATTTTTATTGTCACTCAGCAGAGATTCTCACTCTCTGTTTTCCCCTTTTCTCATCTCCAAGGAGGTGGGAAAAGAGTGGAAAGGATGGCAGGAAGGGAAGGGGCATAGTATGACTTTCTATAGTTCATCGAGGAGAGGTAATTGTTAAGAAGGAAAATTGGATGACTGGGAAGAAGCCCTATGATAAAAACACTTCATTGTTTTTGCTGAAAGGGAACAATCAGTGAGGAAGAAGTTTTGCTCAAGAACCAGAGCTGAGAGTTCCCCTTGTGCCCTTTGGGGCTTTCCCTGAATTCAATTTAGAAACATGGATCTAAAAGTTACTGGAAAAAAGGCAGATAGAGACATACTTCGATTGTTTATGTATTTTATAAAGGGAACAGACCAGTTTGTTGGTTTTCTTTTTTTAGCAGTAACTCATTTTCTATGGCCAAACAGACTCAAATACTGTGCTTACTATAATTGTCTGGAGTTCTAGGCACTTGACATCATAACCTTAAATAAAGGTACCCTGATAAGTACGCAGTAGTATGCCTAATTTATTCCTTTTCAAAGTCAACTTGGGGTTCAATACCATCTGAATACATGCACACACACCCACACACACACTCACACACACACACACACTCACACACACACACACACACACTTCTATAGCAAGCATAATAACTTACTTATTAGAATTCTAAGTATGACCATATTACTGGTTAATGTCATAAGTAGAAAGTATTGTTAATTTTTGTCATCATAGGTATATAGCTGCTGTTTAAAAGTCAAAGAATATCTTTATGTAAATATCTTTGTAATTGAAATTGCAATTTCAATGTGTTATGTAATCAAAATCCTGCTTATAAAATTGGTCTGTATCTTATTTCATAATTGAATAATAAAATTAAATTCAAGTTAATGTAACATTTGCCTCTGTCCAAAAATAACCTGTGAGCATTAAAACAAATCTATGTGGCATTATACTTAGCATCTGTCATTAATTATTATTTGATTTGAAAGTGGATTTACTAGGCAGTGCATACATCAAATTTATTGAAAATTATTTACTCATCAGACATCAATGTGTGCATATTGACTAGTTAAATGGCATGTTTATACCAAGAACACTTTCAGCATCTATCTTATGAAATAACTCTTCCCACAGCTAACCAGAACAATCTCAACTATTTCACACTAAAATATTGTTTTAAAAACCTGTCTAAATGACCAAAAGCTGTTAAAATATAGCTGAAGTATTATAAATACTCAAATTCCTTGACTGTTTTGCCATACAAATGTGCTGATCAGTTATGAAGGTTCTTCTTCCCAGTTTGCTACTACTTTCCAACTCTCTTAAGGTGTCTTGGCAATTCTCTTTATTTCTCTCTTTCTAAAAAACAAGGTGATCATAGAGTTAAATAAATGTTCACATTGTATGATTTGTGTTCTAAAATGGGAAAATGTCTGTCTTCAACATAGATACACGTAGCATAGATGCCCCCACCTCCAAATGGGATTTTCAGTCACTTTCTGCACAGTTCCAGTTTCCCTTCCCATCTTTGCCTCTGTATCCTACCTCCCCTGTGGCTATCTAGCCTTCATCCTGGGCTTTCAATCTCTCTTGGTTTCTCTGGGTTTTCCGGAATAGATGTCTCCTCTCCCTCACATAGTTGTGTTCCTGAGAGAGAAGGGAAGAAGGCAAAGATGCCCTGACTCATTCAAAGCAGACACCAGCTCATGTTTCTTCTTTACCTGGTTATAATACATGAAAATGTGTATCTATCAACCTTGAATCTTGGCCTCAGGAGAAAGGGAAACTGGGAATGTAACTTCATAAAGCCCAGTCTCTTCTTGCTGGACTGTAAATTCCTTTAGGAAAAGTTCGTTTCTAATTTGATTTGATTTTCACAACCACCATGTGAAGTGGGCAATTGTATCACCCAATTTATTTCATAGAAATTTGGGCTCATCCTATGCAGTCTCTTTGGATCTCTCTAAGTAGACTTGACCAGTCCCTCTTTTTATTCACATCTGTATATGTAAAAGCAGCTCTATTCACCCTAACTCTTATCATGGATGGAAGGGTGGCATTTCAATCAGCTCAGACTGCTAAAACAAAACACCATAAACTAGGTGGCTTATAAACAATAGAAATTTATTTTTCACAGTTCTAGAGCCTGAGGTTCAACATCAAAATATCAGCAGAATCAGTGTCTGAGGAGGGTCCACTTTCTCATAGATGGCTCATTCTTGCACTTTCACATGGTGAGAGGAGCAAGACAGCTCTCTGGGACCTCTTTCATAAGGGTACTAAGCTCATTCAGGAGGACTCTGCCTTCATGATCAATCCCCTCCCTATGGCCTCACCTCCTTTGCAGATACCATCACACTGGGGATTAAGATTTCAAAACAGGTACTCAATGATTTGATTTACATTTTTTCAGCTTTACAATAGTGTCAGAGTAAAAAACATTCAGTATGCTTTGTGATTTACAGTCAGATAACATTCTGATAAACTTATAAATAGAAAATATCAATGATTTATCCCAACATAACCCCTCTGCAGTCAAGGAGCACTTATATGTTAATTTGTGGGGGGAAAAACATTCAGAACATTGCACATGGTACAATCCATTGAAAAAAGTCTTGCTGTCAGCTGATCAGGCACCACACATTATTTTCAGTAGTTCCTGTTTTCTAACTTATGAACGCATACATTCTTTAAAAGCATCAACTTGAGGGTCAGGAAGATGGTGGCTGGACCAGATAGACTATGGGAGTCCCGGTGTGAGTGAGTGAGTGTATGGAAAATTTTTGTGTGCATGCTGTTGAGTGAGTGAGTGTGTGAGTGGCTGAATGAGAGAGGACTAGGGAGCTAGCAGCTCTCCTGGTGCAGTGGTTGGTGCCCCAGCTGCTCGACTTGGACCCTAGTGATTCCCAGGAACAGAATCTGAGCACCACTTTTTAAAAAATCAACGAACCATTCCTGGGAAGAAAATGCTGAGAGAGACTGACTAAGTGGGGGCTTGTGAGGAAGTGGCCAGGGCCCTCCTGGTGCAGCAGCTGGTGCTGCAGCTTCTCTGCTTGGTCCTTGGTGCTTTCCAGAAGCTGAGCACCATTTTTTTTTAAAAGGACAAAAGTTTTCCTGCATAGAAGTGGCAGGGAGAGACTACTGGCTCCAGGCTCTGCCTCACTACTACAGCAGGAGAGATTGCCGGGCTTAGCCTCACCACTTCAGTGCCTTGCTAGACACTGGCAGCAGGGACTGTGGAGGGAGCCCAGAGGCAGAGTCCCACCACAGAGGACAAGAGAGGCATCTCACCACCATCTTGAAGGCACGGCAGGAAGATGCTCCTACTTGCTCACCATGGAGCAGCAGACCCAATCTCTGTGACTGGCAGATCAACTACTCAGGGGTTGATCAGGACACAGAAGGAATATCCTGAAAGCACAAACTTCAGAGGGACCTGATGAATGATGAGCCCCAGGTGCCCCACCCTCTACCCTGATCTAGCTACAGAACAAAGGGCATGGCCAGAAAAGGATGAGGAAGAACTCCAAAGAGATCAGTGATGAATCCGGGGCTGACCCCCCATCCCCCAGCAATCCTCTGAACATCAGACCCACACAGCTGCGCCATGATTGAGAGGGACAGACCCAGGCAGAGCCTGGATGTCAGTCACAATAGGAGAACTCCATTCCAAGATATGCCTGGCTAGGACACCCCCCCATGAATACATACCTGGGAAGAGACAATTCTGCACCTCCCCATCTGAGGGGATCTCCCTGACCATACTAGTATGGGAGAGCAGGACTGCAGCCCCACTCACCCCCACTGCCCCTTCTCCTTACCTGCTCGGGACACTGGGGAGAGAGTAAAAGAGGTGGAAACTCTACAAGAGGCACAATGACAGAACTTGCCACAAGAGGGCAGGGTTTCTTTTCTTTATTTAAATTTTTTATTTAAAAAAAATTTTTTTGCCTGTTTGCTTGTTAGTTCATCTATTTTTTAAATCTATTTCTTTGGGCATGAATGTATGTGCATACCCCTCCCTTTTTTTTCTTTTGTTTATTGTTTTCTGTTTACGTATGTTTGTGAATGATTGAGTATTCATCTTTCAGGTAGTTTTGGTTGTTGATTTGTTTTTGCACTTTTGTTCTTCTCTTTTTTTATTTTTTATTTTAAGGTGTGTGTCAATATATGTGTGAGTGTTTAATCTGAATTCCTTTGTTTTTTTTTTGTTTTCCAGTCTTTTTTCTTCTCCATTCATTTTATGCTAGGCGTGTGTCTGTCTGTGTGTGTGTGTGTGTGTGTGTGTGTGTGTGTGTGTGTGTTTAGTTTTCTTGGATTTTTGTTGTTGTTGTTGTTTGTTTTATTTCACTTTGTTATTCTAGTTTGTTTGGGGGTATGTGTGTATATCTGTGTGGGTGTGTTCAATTGTTTTTTGCTTTGGTTTCTGCCTTCATTGTTCTGTTTTTTTCTTTTCTCTTTTAATTCGTATCCATCTTATTTCATTCTATTTTTCTCTGTGCTCCTCATTGCTATCACTGTATCTTGGACTTGGGGAGTACATACAAGTACCCACTGCATCATCATATAGAGTGGTGGTAGGGAGTGAATCTCAGGGAACACAAACCACAATCAGTGAACATTGTAATATGCAAGTAATTTCTGAATCATAGCTCCCCATCCCCTATTTTATTTGGCTTTCAAAACTACAGGAGACAGCAAAGCTTCCCACCCACAGTCCTGTTTCAAAATAGAACAAA